TTCAATCAGTTGGCAAGACAGCTATCCTCCAAACTTTCTGGCATAGGCTGCTAAGTACATCCAGGATTGTATCTATTAGTTGAAACACATTGATTGGTAGTCCATTGATTTCTCGGGCCTTATTTTTTCACCAATGCCTTAAGTGTAACTTGAACTTTTCCTTCATTACCACTGGCTCTTGTTCATAAGGTACTTTATGAAGTTTTTCAGTGTCAACCAATTCTTTTTGATATAGTAACTGTGTTTCACTGTACAATGACTCCTTTCATCTTCTTTTGATGCTTCCTGGATTATTCAAGATTTTGCCCATAGCATCTATTTCAGTACTGCAACTTGTGGCTTGAATTTGTTTTTCAGTTCTTTCAACTTTAGAAATGCCAAGTAACTTCTTCCCTAGTTATTCTCCAGCTCCAGCTCTTTCTACATTCCCTTTAAATACTTTGTCCTCTTGAGTAGCCCTTTGAAACTTTCTGTTCATTTCTTTTACCTCTGTATTTCTTCACTTTGTTTTGGCTTCTAGATACTCCAGTGCAATTGTCAGAGTCTCTCTTCTGACATCCAATTTGGTCTTTTTTTCCTCTTATGTCTTTGTAATGACCTTTTGCTCTCTTCATGGATGTTATCTTTTATATCATTCCATAACTCACTTAGTCTTAAATCATCAGTGTTCAATGCCTCAAACATATTCTGAATATGATTTTTAAGATTCAGGAAGGATGACTAAATAATGTAGACAACATCAAAAGGAAATGGAAGGAATATATAGACTGTTAGGACTAAATGGTTTGAAAAAATATGTGTTAGTAGAATTTCAAAAGAGACTACTACCTTCCTCCAGGTTCAACAAAAATATTTCTCTTAAACCCAGTGGCCTAAATTCAGAGCTCTGGCCTTCTAAACCACTAGTTAATAAACTTCTGTTTATCAAAGCCATTTACTTGTGATATTTTTGTTATAGCAGCACTGGATAAGTAAGATATACTGACACTGAACAAAAAAGAATTTATTAACATTCAGTCATGTCAGGGGGTACCATGTTGTTAAGAATCAAGGATACTAAGGAAAGATGTTCAAGCTGCGGTGCCTTGTTTTCGGTGAAAAATGAGGTTCTATAAATTTATCTATTCACTTATTAAATGTCAACTGAGATGTTTCAATAAATGGAGCCAATGCTAGATGTGCTCACTTTATGTAAAGAATTTTGGAAGGCAGTTACTTGGTCAACCAACTGGAAGTGATACATGTCCATGCTCGTTCAAAGGAAAGTGATCCAACAGAATATGAAAATCATCAAACAATGTGGTAAAATTATTCCTATTGTAAACCAAATTAAATCTACTGCCACAAAGGTGAATTCTAATTCACTGTAACCCTTATCTTATTCATGGTGGCAGGACAGAACTGGACCATAAAGTTTCCACAGCTATAAATCTTTACAGAGGCAGAGCCACATCTTTTTCCCACGGTAGGTTTGAACCACCAACATTTGGGTTAGCAGACAAGCATGTCATATGGCAATTATTCAACCAAGCTTTTTTTAATAAATGAATTTATATAAATGGGTTTTCCCCCCAATTTAAAATCTAGGAATCTATGATAGTTTTGCTAATCTGTTTAGAATGGTCACATAACTCTCAAGTTAAAGAGCAAAGCATAAAATTTTGACAAAAATATGTTTTTGAGCTTCCCCTGAGTCAGAATCACTAGGAAAACTAGACCACTCCCTCTCTGGACACACTTGATATTGTTCTTGAAAGCGATGAGTTCAGGGTCTCCTTGGTTACCTTTCAATTTATTACAATAAACTGAAGTCTCTGAGCAAGGTTTCTAATAAACCAGTTTATGTCTGTCAAGACCTTGCTGATAAAAACAAAGGCTAGCTGACTCCATTATTAAGTTAAAATTTGTGGGTTTCTGTCTTCTCTATTTGCTCTACATAATTTTATCTCCTGAAAGTTGTTATTGATTTAGTAGCGCTTCTCAGTTAATGGGTTTAGAAATCCCTGGGAATATAAATCATCTGTGATCTTGTTAAAATGTAGAAGACATTTTGTATTTCTTATTCCGCTTCCAGAGGATGCCAATGCCACTGTACCTCCTATTATACTTGAATAACAGGATTATTGGCCACCTATATCACAATGAGCTCTGCTGGCCTAGTAGTAAGAAGCTACACTACAATCCCAAAGGTACACAGTTCAAATCCACTGTTCTGTGTGAGAAGGACTGACAGTTTCCTCCTGTGCAATTTTCTGCCTCAGAAAACCTATTGGAAAGCCGGTTCTGACTCAATGGCACACAGCAACATATCACAATTTGGCAGGTCTGGTGGCTAGACTGTAGGGAGTCGCACTGCTAATCCATAAGCAGTAATTCAAATTCACTAACAGCTCTGTGGGAGAAAGATGAACAATCTCTTCCTGTGCGATTTAGAGCTTCTGAAAATCTGCTGGAAGGTGAGTTATGAATAAGTTCTAACCTGAAAGCAATGAGTTATGACATAATAACTTACATATTTGTTAAATATTCCAATAGACCAAGTCCAAATCACTAGGGGCAGTGCCAGGGATATATATTTAAACAAACATTTAGGGAGATTTGAGAAACATTGGCTGATATAATGTATTTAACTTTTTCTCTCTCATACTTCTTTTCTGTCCCTTAAAGCCCAGTGTAAGAGAACTCTAATGGCCTAGTAGCAAGAAGGTACGCTGCAGTCCAGAAGGCATATGATTTGAATCCACTAGACGCTCCACTGGAGAAGGAGGAGCAATCTCCTCCCGTACCTGTCGGATCCAACTTGCGGGTACAAAAGAAAAATAAAAGCCCAGTGTAGGTCCTTCTCTCTGTGTGTGTGTGTTTGTGTGTTTTAATTTTTTCTCTATTAGTTTATTTACAAAATTTGAATATAAGTTTAAACAAATTCTCCAAATTTCCCTCACCGCCCCCATCAAATTGTATAACCCAATGATTAATCCACCCTTCTCCCTGCAAATCCGCATCCCTCTGCTTCCAGCCTCTCCCATCCCTCCTGGATCCTTTTACTCATTCTACAATAACGGTTTTATACAATATTTATCCCTGTGGGACTGAGTTCACTCAGCATAATGCTCTCCAGTCTGTAGGTCCTTCCTTGTGATGCTTTTATGATCACCTAAGACTCTGAATTCTTCAACCCTTCTCCAGATGCATTTTGAGTTCCTTCCAACCTGTGGGGCTTATCTTCCAACACGTCAACGTTCTGCTGCTGGTCGTAAGTATTTCACTAGTTAACTATCTTTAGTCTGCTTTGGTCTGAAAACTGCTCTGCTAAAAACTGCACCCAAGGTGACCCTGGAGTTATCTGAAATCACAGTAGCATAGCTTCCAGCATCTGCAGCACATACAAGCCACCAGCCTGACAGATTGACAGAATTCCCAACTATAGAACTCCAGGAACTTTCATGCTAGTTTTGAATTTATTATGGTATACAAAACTTTGCATAATTTTACTATGTCTTTTATCTCTGAAGCTCAAAGCATATTAATTTATTAAGTCACTGTACGGTCACTGAACAATTATCATTATACTGCCTCTCAAAAAAGCTGACTAGGGGAAGAATTGTAAGATGTATGGTCAAAGTCAGAGCCACTGTGAAAAGGCCAAACCAAGCAACTCAGAGCAATCAAGTGTGTGTCACACATGAAGCATGTCTCAGCATTTTCCTCAAGGCACATTGTGTGATTTGAAAAGCGAGAAATCCATAAAGGAGACTATAAGATAAGAAGAAACGGAAAATTATTTCAGCGTGGGAAAATAAATTTCTTCCTCGGGATTTCCATTACCCTTTGCCCCTTACAAGGTTTACACATTGCGGCTGTGGTTAAACGTCTATCCTCTAGTAGTCTAGTTCTTTCTAGCAAAGCAAAAAGGTTTGAAAAACGGAGATGGAACCCTGGTTCCATCACTAACGAACTCTTATCACTTTGGAAAAAGTCCATCAGCTCTTTGTGTGTAAAATGGGGATGCATCACGCCCACCTATCTCATCGAACTATTGAAGCGATAGAATGTGATTTTTAAAGCCCTGGAAGGATACCATTTGTTACCTTATTATAGCGTTCCCCGTTGAATTTCAATTGGTTTAATTAATTTAGTTTAATCCCACGGTAACACTACACAACATAAGTAACACAGCCAGGGCGTGCCCATAGGGAACAGCCTCGAGGTAGATCTTTTTCCTTTGAGAAAAGAAGAGCATGAGACTGCTGGGTGCTGTAGTTTCTGAGGTAGTCTACCCCCATCTTGGGGGAAATGAAAGAACTACAACTCCCGTGAGGCCGTGCGGGACCAGCGTGCGCCAAGTAAGCGCGTGCACAAAGGAGGAAAAGGGTGGTGGTGTGCGCGCATGGGGGTTGACAGAATGAACGCTGAGGCTAAATGCTCCTGGTGGCTATGACGGCAGATGGAGGAAAGGAGACTTGTGGGCGTGTGTAGGTTTGCTAACAAGAATAAGATGACTAGCATCACACCAATTAAAAAATAAAAAGCGCGTGTGCCAACGCCACCAGCCTGTGACTCCTAAACTCACGCTGTTGCAGTGGCGACGGGAGCGCGCTCTGAGGCTCGCGCCTCGTGCCCCATGGGCTTAAATCATCAGGGGCGGGAAAAGGCGGGGCCTACGGTGCGGGGGCGGGACCAAAGGAGGCAAGTGCGGCGGCTGCAGCTCCGGCCACGACCCAGACATCTGGGACTGTTGTTGTTCTTTCGCGACCGGATCGCCTCAGTTCGCCTGGTGAGCAGGAGCTGCTGTGTTGGGGAGCTGGAGGTGGGATCCTCTCGCGTGTGCCTCCTAAAGCTGCTGCAGGAACTAGAGCAAGCGCCCGGCAGTTGGTCCCCGATGCCCTTCAGTGAGGAGGGGGCGTCCGGACCCTGGTGAGCTCCCCCGAGGGACCCTGCTCACGGACTCAGACTCGGTGATTTCGCAGCCCCCTAGGCCTGCACATCCCAGTCTGCCTGCCATGGCCGAACATGCAGAGGGGGACCTGAACTCTAACCTGCTCCACACCCATTACCACACCGGCGATCCTCAGCTTGACACTGCCATCGGACAGTGGCTGCGTTGGGATAAGGTGGGTACCTGGTCAGTCCAGCATCCGTCCTTTGGTTCTGCACACTCACACGCAGTCTGCCCTTTCTCGACAACACCCAGTGCCCCGCATGATTCGCAGGGGATGGCATGGGGCGGGGGCCAGCGGAACCGGGCGTTGCCACCCACCTTTGCCTGGGCTTCTCCATCCGGACAGCCTGGGCTGGGCAGGAACATCTGCAGCCGCTTCCTTTTGCTGTGCGCTCCATTGCAGCCTCCCTCCCCTTCCATCCCGCCGAGGGCGTGCCAGTACTCTTTTGCAAAATAAATAAATAAATCATCCTCATCATAAGTTAGACCCTTCACTCAACTATTTCCTTTCCTCTTTTTCGCCCTTGACTTCCTTCTCAGCAAACCTGAAAGTGGGGTGTTTTGTTTTTGTTTTTTTTTTTTGCCACGGATCTTGGTTTCTAACCGCTGTTCTTTTTAGTTCTAGGTAGCCTTCTGCCTTTTATTACTCGCTCGTATTCTCTAGTGCAGACTAGTGGCTCAGTGACTCAAGAGAGCAGCTACTAACTCGGGGATTGGAGCCCCTGAACCGCCCTGGTAGAGAAAGGTGTGCAGCTCTCTGCTTCCACGTAGACGACCATTCTTGGAAACCTTGTGGGCCAATGTTTCCATAGAGTTGCTATAAGTGAACGTTGGCTCAGTAGCAATGGGTTTTCTAATATTTTCTAATATCACTAGCTCTTGAGAAGGCCCGCCCTTACTTCTTACTTCTTATTTCTTTCTCTTGCCAAGAGTTATTTTCTGGAAATAACCTTACTAAAATGCCACACTTTGCAAATTTCTTACAATGCTTTTGGTTTTGCCTTACTCATTTCTCCTGTTTCTTCCTGCCCAAATGATGGTTATTTCATCTATCACAGGCCAAGGCATGGATTCCGAAAAGCCAGAGTTAAAACATAGTTTTCTTACTGGTAAAAGACACACCAGGTGCATCCAGGTGATGCTAGCTTTTGCCTTCACAGCTGCATAAAATGAGCTTGTTAAAGTAGAGACGGCAACACATTTTAAATAGAAATAGTGATTTCAAATTGAAAAATTAGTAGAATAGTGAAATCATGATGTAGAAAATAATTTCTTAAAGGATTAGCATTCTGAGAAACATTACTTGCTCTGTCATTTATGCACTCAACCAAAAATTTTTCTTGGGCATCAGATAGTGTTGCTGGCCCTATTAGTCCCGTGGAGCACTAGTGGTGAGCATGATGGAAAGGGTTTCTGCCTTCGACCAGCTTGCAGAAAAATTTACCGACAGATAAGCAAACACAGTAAGGTATTTAACATTAATTAAAGATATGCCTCTTAGATATTCTAATTCTTGCTCTGGATTACACTGCCATAAAATGCTTATGGATCACCTGAGGATATTAAATGCAGATTCAGACTCAGGATGCCTGAGGTAGGGCGGGGCCTGAGGTGGGGCGGGGCCTGAGATTCTGCTGAGAATGAGCTAGGTAACAGCAAATTTGAATAGCAAAATTCTGAATTGTTCTGATTGAAATACTGAAATAGAGAGCTAAGTAATTGTCTTATTGTAAGATTTAAAAATACATAATGTAAAAAAAATCTTCTATGTGAAATTTTTGGCATCCATTAATTATCATAAAGGTATTCAAAATACTAGTTACTTTAATGCCATCTTGCAAATATTTATTAAATGTCTGCCTTGTGAAAGGATACAAAAACTTTGAAGATTCACAGTGCTCTTTCGCTTTTAGTCCATCAGGGAAAAGGAAATATAATACAAATAAAAGAGTTAAGGCTTAGAGCAAATGGTAAATGATAGAAACAACAAACTGAATATGTGAATGTCTTCAGCAAAGAAAACAAAATTACAAATTAATTTTGTTGTTAGCAGCTTCTTTTTGTTTTAATAGAATTGTTTGTGTTTAAAACTATTAGCTTTCATTGACCTTGCCAGTGAATAATGTGGCTGTGCTTTTTGTCTCCATAAAGTGGTCAGGTGATATCTTATCGATTCCTAGGGCCTTATTTTTTGCCAGTGCTCTCAGTGCAGCTTCTACTTCCTCCGTCATTACCATTGTCTCCTGTTCATATGGTATTTCCTGAAATTTTTCTGTGTCAATCAGTTCTTTCTGTTACAGTAATTCTTGTATTCCCTCTATCTTCTTTTGATGTTTTATGAATCATTCACTATATTGCCCATAGCATCTTGAAAGAGATTGCAACACGAGGCTTAAATTTGTTTTACAGTTCTTTCAGCTTGAGAAATGCAGAGTGAGTTCTTCCCTTTTTATTCTTCAATTCCAGCTCTCTGCACATTCCATTGTAATACTTTGTTTTGTCTTTCCAAACTGCACTTTGAAATCTTCTGTTCAGCTCTTTCACTTGTATGTTTCCCTTTTGTTTTGGCTTTTTTATGCTCCAGTGCAATCTTTAGAGTCTCTTCTGACTTCCATTTTGATTTTTTTCTTTCTCCTTAGTTTTTGTAATGACATTTTGCTTTCTTCATGGATGATATCTTTGATATCATCCTACAACTCATCTGATCTTCAATCATTGGTGCTCAATGCCTCAAACCTGTTCTTAAGATGATCTTGAAATTCAGGTGGAATTGATTGAAGATCGTATCTTGGTTCCTGTGGACTTATTTTCATTTTCTTCAGCCTCAATTTGAACTTGTACGGATTATATCTCAATGTCAAGAAAACAAAGATTCTTTATCATTGTACTGATAGGCAGCATCATGGTGGATAAAGAGATTGAAACTGTTAATAACTTCATTTTACTTGGTTCCACAATTAACAGCCTTGGTACCTGCAGTCAAGAAATAAGGAGACACATTATACTGGGGAAATCTGCAGTTAGGGTTCTCCAAATTATTAGGGAGCAATGATGTCAATTTGAGGACTAAGGTGCATCTGATTCAGGCCTTGGCCTTTCTGTTTACTTGGTATACATCTAAGAGCTGGACAATGAATAAGGATGACAGAAAAAGAATGGACACCTTTGAGCTGTGGTGTTGGAAAAGAGCACTGAACATCCCATGGACAGCCAAAAGAGTGAACAGATATGACTTGGAGAGGGTGCAGCCTTAGTGCTCTTTGGAGGCAAGAAGGATGAGGCTTCATTCACCTCACATACTTGGGGCATGTTGCTAGGAGGGGCTATTCCTTGGAGAGGGACATTGATGCTGAAAAGCATGGAAGGTTGGTAAAGGAGAGGAAGACTCTCAACTAGGTGGATTGACAAAGTGACTGCTGCAATGGGCACTTGTGTGTCAGGAAGTGTGAGGATGGCCCAGAATAGAATAGGGTTCAGATCTTTTGTTCATAGAGTCATTATGAGTCGTACTCAACTTGATGGCACCTAATAACAACAACACAATAAAGTGAACAGGTTAGATTTGGAAATTGAAAGATGCTTGTAGACATCATTCATTTTACTAGTATCTATCAGGCATATATCACAGCCTTTGGCCCTTTACCAGTAGTAGTTTCCACTGCCATAGATAAAGCTGTTTTTTCTTTAGACATCAGTTTTTGGTTTTTTTTTTTAGACATCAATTTTGACTATAATTTTTTGAGCCTCCTGAGTGATTTTTTTTAAAGAGTAATAGAATTTAATTTTAAGGAACACAAAATGCTGTACTTAGATATTGTTGAGATAAAATGAAATATAAAAAGACAATAAAATGCGTAAACATGAAAAGATAACACCAACTTAGTATTGATGGCAATTAAATAAGCAGTCTGTTCTGTAGAAAAGAGTGCAGAAAAAAGGATGCCCTTTGGAATGGGATAGTCATAGAAGACTTCGTAAGATGGAGTACAGTTGAAAAGAATGAAGGAAACGTCCTTGTAAGTGGAAAAGAAATTATATTTAAAGTGTTCTTCATACACAAGGCACTGACCTGAGAATCTGTGAAAGATACAAAGAGGACATAGTGTGGATTTTGCTTTAAAAGAGCATTGTTATGTTGTTGCGTACAGTAAAGTTGGAAACAACCCATAGCTGACCCTCTGGTGGATTTCCATAAGCAATTAATCACAAGGAAGGAGACTGCCCATCCTTCCCATGGAGCAGCTAGTTTACTTGAACTGCGTGCCTTTGGGATTGCAGTGCAGCTTCTTACTGGTAGGCCACCAGAGCTTCCTTGAAAAGAGCATAGGAGAGATGAAACATAGTTGCCCAAATGTAGCACCATATTTTCGCACAAATAATGTTCAAGGTACCTGGACTTCTTCCCCTCCCCAAACCATGTAAGCCTTACAAATTTAGTTTCCTATGTGACTATCCACATTATATGTATGTGCAAGATACTTACTTAGGCATGTTATTTGCATAAGTATGGTACAGAGAGCAAATAATAAGTGCCCTTAACAGAAGAATAGATTTAAGTAATTTTAATAGCTAATGAAAAGAAATGGTCCCTCTGAATGGAAGGGAGACTTTTAATTGGGAAGTGGAATTATTTCCATTGTGTATTGACAACTGTAGGTAAGGTAGACTGTGCCCCCAGGGCATTGAATTAAATAAGAACATTGAACTTCTGTACATCACCGAGTACAGAAATGTAAAATAATGGTTAAAATAACTCACGTGTAATGTTTGTTACATTATATGTTTTCAACATGCATTGTTTTTCCAGCATATCTCATTGCCATCAAGTCAGTGCTGATTCATAGGTGACCTCCCAGCAGGTTTTCAGAGGCTGTAAGTTACACAGGAGGAGATTGCCCATCTTTCTCTGTAGAGCTGCTTGTGGGTTTATCCAGTAGAGCCACCTTTGCCACCAGAGCACCCCTTAAAGTTTGTAGAAACTAATTTTAGCTCCTCGCTAATACTCATTTAAGTTTTAAAAAGGGCCTACCAGATGCCACTGATTGTTAGTCACTTCCTTTGGTGAAGTACATCATAAGTTACAAATTGGTCTGAGAGCACTTGGCTAATTGCCTATACCCAAAACCGATCCTTGATTCTATAAAGTCAGTACTGACTCAGCAACCCTCTGAG